TTAATTATTACCCTCTTTTAGCTACACATTTTCTACAGTTACAGTTGTGACAATCATAATTAATTTTGGTTACAGTTACTTAACAATTAAATAATAAAATCCTATCACCATCACCCATTCCCTTTCATGAGATCCATCTGGAGAAGAGGAATACTATTCAATGGGGATTCTACCTTACCCCCACTTGTTCTGAAACTAAGCACACTCATGAAAGCTTGTAAACCAATTACTTTGTGTCTTTACAGCCCCATTTTCTTTTCTTTTTTTTTTTACTTTAAAAGTTTTTGGTTTTTAAAAAAAAATTTTTCATTTTAAGGTTTTTGTGGATTGAGTGAGGAAAGTTTACAGAGCAGATCATCAGTTTTACATTCAATGAATTATACACCTTGTTTCATTATAATGATTATAATCCCCTCCATGTACCATTGTTGTTGTTAAGTGCTATCGAGTCGGTTCCGACCCATGTACCATTAGGTAACAGTATTTCTCTGTTCACTTCAGTTTTTTGTTGTTGTTTTTTTAAACACTCAGGCATATATAATAATTTAAGCCACCAAAGGGCACATTCTGCAAGTCTGCTTCCTGGCCTCCATCTCTTAGCCCCCCTCTCTTCCCATGAATCTAGACTCCTCAGCTAGATTCCCTCTCTCCATATCCCCATCTATGCCTCCATCTCTGGTATCTCTGCTTCTCTGGATGAGGTCTCACTTCCGCTTTTGCTCTTTTCCTTGATGGTCCTAGGGTCCTTTGTTTCTGGTCTGTAAGATTAACTACTCCCCCGTTTTTGTTAACAAAACTTCTACCTTTATCATTGTGACAGTTGCAATTAATCATGATAGCAGTTACTCACTATTGAATCTTATCCTCATCTCTTTTAACCAGACCTGTCTAGACAAGATGAAAACTTTTCTTCCCCCACACACTATTAAACTAAACTCCCCCTTGAAACCTTATAAGCCAGTCACTTTGTGCCTTTATCGCCCCCTCATTCTAGGTAGCCAACGTCTAAGTTGTCCATCCCTATCTACCCTGTATACAGAGGGGATAGCATTAATGTGAAGACTCCTTTCCTCTCTGTTGGTATTTAGAGTTACTGCTTCCATGAGTATAGGTCAAGTTAATCAAATTGTAGCAATTTACCCTTGTTTCCTTTATCAAAACTTGTTTTGTTCTTCTTCTTTTTTTTTTAAATCTTCCTCTGGTTGAGTTCTGATTATCAAACCATTGAGGCTAGGTCAAATGGGTACTATCTGCAACTTTGAGTGTTCTTGTGTGACTTCTTTCAGTTCATACCAGCTGTATGTTTCACCGTCAGCTGTAATATTTTGTGGCTCCTTGTTCTTATGCTCAGGTGTCCCCAGGTCTTATCACACTTTGGACCAACTAGCCCTTCCTCTTTTCTCTCTCATCTCAAGGTTAATGGGAGTTTGTGGAACATGGTTGAACTCAGCCCATTTCTTCATTGCTGCCTTTCCCCCTCTTCCACTCACCAATGTGGTCGCCAGCAAGCTTACATGCCTGTTCATGTGTTCCCTTTGAGTTTCAGTCTTAGAGGGAGCTTTGCCCTGAAGGAACTTGATTGCTTGCCTTGATGGCTTCCCGGGAACAACTTGCTTATTCTTGTAGTAGCCAGTCATACTGCCATTTTTGTTTTGGGTTTTTCCTGATGGTCTTTCTTTGAAGATGTATCTTCTGTCACTCTAGTTACTCCAGGCTGGTCTGCTTGTCCTTTCTAGTGGGCATGCCTCACCTCATAAGGTTCTGAATGGGATTCAGGATTCTACCTAAGGTCCTATACTCTGCAGAGGCTCCTCAGGAGGCCTATTTCACTGGGCAAGTTCTAGAACCCCTTTTAAGTATTCCAGTCAGTTATAGGGCTGAAGACATAGCCCTCTGTTTTGATAACCAATGTCTATATTGCCCTTCCTGTTAACCCAGTGCACTGAGGAAACAAACTTATTTTGAGATATAAAGAATCCTTCCATTCCAGTTGGAATTTTGAGCAACTACATCCATAAGCAAAAGTCTAGTTCATCAAATTATAGTGGTTTACACTTGCTCACAGTATCAAACTTCTTCATCTTTATCTGGTTGAGTTCTGGTCAGCTAGCCATGCAAGCTAGCTCAAGTAGTATCTACAAGTTTAGGAGTTCATGCACGTCTCCCATACCAGTTGGCTGCTTTATTCTCTGTTCTAGCCTTCAGTGACTAGGTCAGGGCTAGTGGGCTCAGGAGTTCCTGCCTCTTCCTAAACTTCAGACCAGCCAGTCCTTCCTCATCCACCTCTCCTCTCAAGGTTAACAGGTGTCAATGGGACATGATCAAACTCAGCCGAGGTCTTCATTGCTATATTCCCCCACTTCCACTCACAAGTAGACTCAGGTGGCTACCAGCAAATATACTAGACTGCTTGTGAGTTCCCTTTGAGTTTCATTCCTAGAAGGTTCCCTGATGGGCTGATTTTTCTTGCCTTGATTTTTTTTTGGTTACCTTGATACCTTCAAATTAAAAATCTTGCTTGATATACTAGACTGCTTGTGAGTTCTCTTTGAGTTTCATTCCTAGAAGGTTCCCTGATGGGCTGATTTTTCTTGGTTACCTTGATACCTTCAAATTAAAAATCTTGCTTGATATTTTAACAGAGAAGCAGTCTGTTCTTTTTCTGCAGGTCTTTCTTTCAGTAAGATTCTTCTGTTTTCCTAGCAATTCTGGGTTGGTCTGCATGTCTTTTCAAATGGGAATGCCCCGCTAAGAAGGTTCTAGTTGGGGCTCAGGATTCCATCTAAGACCCCATACTTCACTAAGTCTTTACATGAAAGAAGCCTATTTCCTTGGGCAATTCTAATTCCCCTTTTAGCAATTCCAGTCAGTTATAGCAGAAGGCAGGCTTACAAGCTTTCTGTAATCATAATTCCCAAGTCATTTTTATCATACTTAAATGTCTATTTTACAATCAATACTAGACAGGGGAAACCAATATCCACAAGACAGTTGAACACCTAAACATTTTCCCCTCCTTTACCCATTCAATCAATGTGTCGATTCATATATTTACTCACAGAACACTGTTGTTTCAAGGTTGCGCATATAAATCACTATTAACTTCTATCCCATTTAGCCAATGCATACCTCCCTAAGTCTTCCCCTATCTTTATTTTTTTATATGCCGCTTTTCCTCTTCTTGTGTATTGCTTTTGCATTCCATGCATATTGCTCTACCTTGAGCTAACATGTATCTACCAAGTGTTTTATTGAAACTAATTTGTAGTATGTTAAAGTTCTATATGGAGGAATATAACACCTTCTGTACAGTATTAGCTCTGGTAGTATAGTGGTTACGAGTTGGGCTGCTAATCCCAAGGTCAGCAGTTTGAAACTACCAGCCATTATGCGGGAGAAAGATAAGGTTTTCTTCTCCTGTAAAGATTTACAGCTTCAGAACACCCTGTGCAGGGTCACTGTGAGTCAGAACCGACTCGATGGCACACCACCACCACCAGCACCAGTCTCTTTATATTCTGATATTTTTAGATAAAACTGTTACTTATGTTTAGGAGTCCTGTCTAGAAGTCCTGGAGTGGTGTTGTAGAATAAACACTGGACTGCTAACCACAAGGTTGATGGCTCAAACTGACCAGCTATTCCTTGGAAACTCTATACAGGGTAAAAGAACTCTATACATCCTAAAAGAAGATGTAGGTTCAGGTCAGTGTCTAGCTTCTTTGCATCAAGCCAATTGAAAATAACAGAATTTGCTCAACTTTCAGGTTGCTATTGTTGTTGTTAAGTACCGTGGAGTCGGTTCTGACTCATAGTGACCCTACACAGGGTTTCTGAGGTTGTAAATCTTTACAGGAGCAGAACACCTCATCTTTCTCTCGCAGAACCACCGGTAGTTTTGAACTGCTGACCTAGAGGTTGGCAGCCTGACTCGTAACCACTACGCTACCAGAGGAGGTAACTGTAGGATAAATAGTATGATGTAATACACAGTCTTGGAGTCCTGGTGTGGTGCTGAACTGCTGACCGCAATATTGGCAGTTCAAACCCACCAGCTACTTTTCAGAAACCCAGTACAGGGTCTCTGTGAGTCAGAACTGACTTACTTGACAGCACTTAACAGTATCATCAATAGCATTGGCTTAATCATTTTACAAAGCTTTCTCAATTATAATAAAGTTATTATACTCTCTAAACGTTAGTTGTGGGTTTTTTTGTTCCTTTTTGATGTGGTGTTGTAGGATAAATACTAGACTACTTTCCACAAAGTTGTTTTAAACTTGCTATCTTTTCCTCAGAAACCCATGCAGGGTCGTTATGAGTCGGAACTGACTTGACAGCAATACCATAAAAAGTATTTTACTATCGTGGTATGCTAAGAAAAAAAGAGCTCATTTTTTCAACGTTGAGTGGCATGACTATCTCCTCGATTTTAAAAAATGGGAATATAACTGTGTATATACGTGCATGTCTATACATATTCATATTCCTATATGCATATATAAAATGTTTTAATTTGAGGAACCCTTTGCTTTTAGAGACATACTGGAATGAGGAATCTTTGGTCTATTTTGTGAAATGACTGTCCTGTATTATTCCTTCCCCTTAGAAAAATAACATTGGCCTATTGGTTGGGTTTTTTTTTTTTTTTTTTTTTTTACATTGA